TAATTCGCAATAGCGTTATAGCAAATTGACGGAAATTCGTACGAAAATGTTCCAAAAATAACTAAAATGTCTGGTCTACAAGAACACGAAAATACCAACATGTCAACATAGCCATAATCCAAGATCCAACTTCTGATTCAAATAAATCTATTTTCATGATGGTTTATAATAAACTTACTCATGATAATGTTGTTGTTTTTCTGGCATGCATTTTTATATTGTCTCTCTTTGAACATCATAACTGACTGCATCTCGTTTTTACCTAACATGTGGTGTTATAAAAATTATGTCTACTATAAATTTATAAAGTCGACAACATAATTAGTCTGATAAGTACTAAGCATGAGAAATAGATTGGTATTGTTTTTCCATGGCGGTAAACAATTACTTTGCAATAAGTAAAACATCGTTACGTTATATTTCGTTATAAATACTAGACAAAAGCTTTAATCAAATGTCAATGTAGACACTGAAATCTGCCTGAATTGCTGTATCATCTTGATTTGATCTCAGCAAAGCTGATTATGGAAGGAGAACAAATATTTGAGAATTTGCGATTACATAAGAAATAAAATAACAAATATAAAAAAACACATTGCCATTCTTCATCTTTTGATATTATTTCATTATCTCGTGATTAAATTACATCGATTCGTTGGAAATTGAACTTTAGTTTCTTTCGATCCAATGGAGGAAAGAATGACACTAGTAACATATGTTTAAAGCAGGTTTTAGTTAGGAAGTTAAGCGATACCTGTTTATAGTGATGTCATCTTTAATTATAATGTGGTATGATCGCCTGATGATGCCATAGAAGGTGTAAAGACACTGTGGATAGTATTGTTAGTCTTCCACAGCATTGCCTTGTTTATACAGTTAATTACATCCATGTAATATTTTTGTGTATTAGAGATGGCTAATCATCAACCGTTGTGACGTTTAGGTAGCGCTCTCTTGCGAACCACCTGGTCTTATTATCCTTGTACTTTTTTCAGGAATCTCCATGTAAATCGTTCTTTTGTTAATGTTTTGCCCTAGTTTTATTGAATTTGTGTTTGTATTATGATTATGTTGATATGTCGATACTAGAGATAGAGTCCAATTTTGATGCGAAAATGTCAGTTGTCTGCAATATTTGCATGAAGAATCGATCGCGTGATAAAAAGAAATGTAAGTGACTTCCCACATGTATATAGATTTATTTATTTTAGTTCGCTTTAAATACAAAATTCTTATACTCGTTTCAATCAAATTGAAACTCATGTAAGATCCTGTAGATAATGTACAGTTCAACCAAACATTTCCAGTTACTAGGCGAATGCATGGTTTACTTGTAACAATATAACATTGAAATTATTTTTTAGATATCTTCATTTTAACCCCAAGTTCTTTTATTTGTCACAAAACAATGCAAGTGGAAGCCTGTTACGCCATATATGATATTCTCCCATTTTCTCGACATTTCGAAATAGAAATTAGGCATGAGACGTGATCTATATGAAATGTATTTAACATCAAGCTCGGATGACACGATACCTGAGTATCCTGACATTGATACCTACACGTTACATAACAACAATCAGTATACAAGTTACTTACCTGTAAAGGTAGTCTGATGGCGATGTATGTAATATATCCACTGGCGAGTACCACCCAACACATCAAAACAATGACATTGGAGAAGATCAACTTAGTATCCATGTTCAGTATAAAAGGCAGGAGTGTGATACTGAAGCAAGCTTGGACACTGTAAGGAGGCTTTGATTGTGCAGTATTTAACATCGCCAAAGCTCTAGGTAGTAAACTTGAATACTGGGGAATGAAGAACAGAACTAATATGGTAACTTAGTAACAGAGAGATGTCTGGTAGTAGAAGGTAATTTTGTAATTTGACTAGACTGCAGTAGTTTTCGTGTAGGAATATTAATATATTTCTTAATAATATACTGCATAATACACAATGATACACACAGGTCATTATAATGCTTTTAATTAATTTAAAATAATGATTAACGGTTAATAATATATCTGGAAGTTATCTAAACTTATATCACAAATACGACACGGGCATAAACATTAATAAGCCCATAACAACAGGACACTTGTGAGGACGGTTAAAGCAACTTTTCTGTGTAAATGTTAGTTCATGTCGTATCTGTCATCTTTTGACATAAATTCAAACTCATTCAAGATCTACAAACTGTACACTATATTTATGTTTCTCTGCGTTTGCTTGTGAGGTATCAGCAAGTAATTTCTGGTCCAAAATTGAGGAGTACACTAACTAAAATTTACACATAATTGTATCTGAAATAATTCAATATTGAAAGTTAGGAATTTGTTGCATCCACATTTGGTTATTGACAATTATTTGGATCTGTTTGGATTTTCCTCTTCGATTTCAACAATTCAACGTCGTTACTTTGTCCTAGATGTATGAAACAGTTGTTTGATACAAGTATATTTAATGTTTGGGTCTACTGTATCTTATTCTTATTTTGTCTTGAAAGGTGATATTCGATTCAGTGCCCTGTGTATAGTTACTTGATTAAACATTAAAATTTTAGGAGAAACGTGCACAAAGATGTCCAACAGTGCTAATGCATCTTGTGATGACATTAAAATCATTTTGACACAGTAAAGAAAATACATAAAGGAAAGAAAACAAGTAATGTTATATGCAACGATATTTATTTCACCACACAACATAACACCAATAGTATAATAAATAACTGACGTAAAATCGTCTTCAGGTTTTCTTTGTACAAAAAACAATTTCTTTGCATTTTATTTACATAAGTATACTTGTACCGTAGAAATATTTCTAGTCAAGAATATATCGAATAAAATAGGTATTTTTGCTGCTGTATATACATCTCAAAGGATATCGCATGAGGTTCTCTGTTTATATTCCAGTTGAAGAAGTTCTGAAACACTTGGAAGGTCAGCAATGAAAATGTAAGACGAAAAAGTATGAAACTAAATAAAATAAACACCGGAAGGATAAAGATAGTAAAATATTTCTGTAGAGTGAGCACTTTATAGGTATCGTTGGTATATTGGTAATTACCTATCAGGTAATGCAAAATTGTTTAAGTACACCAACTATCAAGTGACAGAAAATACAGTGTTGTAATAAAAACAACTTTAATAACTTTAATTTTACAGTTAGAGTTGTCGTCCTTTGACCTTTCCTCGTTTTAGAAATCGTCAGTGTTAAGAAAATTATCATCAGGAGTATAGGAATGAAATATTTTTTTCAAAATTGGCATGATGTCGTGATCACGTACAAATATATACAGAAACAGTGTTAACGTGAATATAAATGAAAATTTACTATTTGCATTGGTAATAACCATACTTCCACCTACACAATCAACTATAGCAATACAGATTTCATATTACAGTTGGTGTGTTCAACACTTACATTTTCTAACATTGGCATTGACACATATGTGAACAATATGAATATCAGGAATGAGAATTAAATATAAAGGAATATCTACAATACTAAAATTTGTTATTATACAATTAACACGAGCTTCCATTGCTTTGAATGCTGAAGAAATATATAAATATTAAAGTATTTTTCCAACAGTGGGCCTCGTTATTTAAAATTGACATGCACTAACGAAGGAAAGTTAGCATCGAGATAAATATTATTGATAAAATATTCTCCATGCTAACATACATGAATCTTAATATAAACGAAACACTGTCTTATATATATTAATTGAATGAATTTACTTTTTTGTCGTTATGGTGATCTGAATTCATAAGGTATTATAGAACTTAATGAGGTATTGCAGAAAATCATAAGGTGTTACAGAAAGTCACTAGGTAATATTGAATGTCATATGATATTAAATAGCGTCAAAATGTACCTTGCAACTTAACAGGATATCAAAAAAGTCATAGTGTGTTATAGAACTGAACTTCATCAGTTATTATAGAAAGTAATAAGGTAGCACAGAACACCACAAGGTATTATAGGAGGTCTTAAGGTATTATAAAACGCCGTAAGATATTATATGACTTCACAATGTATCATAGATAATGTGTTATACATTTGTACTATAACTTCAACCATTAAAATATTTATATGAGATTGCATTGTCAAAAAGGCATTGTCAATATAGCAGCATAAAATTACCCGAAAACAAATAAAATGTTCCTATCTATAAATAACATGTCCCTATCTATAAATAGAATGTCCCGATCTTTTATGAAAAATGCCTCTATCTATAAATAAAATGTCCATATCAATGAACATTACACAGCCAAAGACACAAATTTAAACCAAACGCAACATCAGAGACTTTCGTCGATATAGACAGGGATCAAACATAAATATTTAAATGCATCGGTATCATATTGTTAGTTTCCGAATTACACAGGATGCAATTGGAAAAGTTAAACTGCAGTACCTGTATGACTGCCATTGCACAATTGTTCTTATTTAGCCATATCTATGTAGACTTACAAACAATTTCATACTTCTGTAGACGACATATATAAAATAGCACGGATCTCCACTATCCTTCTACATAACAATTTATTCTCGTACAGTGATGCTTTCGCGGTTATGTGCGAAAATGCTTATTCGTCAATTTGAATCTCTGAGTTCGAAATTCCAAGACCACAAAACAATTGACCATACTCCAACATTCATTGGCGTGAGGAATAATAATTAGAATCAATACCACAGAAACAGTAAGGCTTCTCCTATTTAATTTTGTATATGTTGCTGATAATTTGTCACACTAACACAGGACAAGACTATGACACGTTATCTCCATTAAACACTATATATTAACAATGTCATTGCATTTGATTGATATATGTAAATATCATTTCATCAATCCGCCATTATCCTCAAAACAAATGACATGAAAGTATATACTCGAGAAAGATAATGCATTTCACGATGAAATGAACCACACTTTCCTCTTCGATCCGATCCCATGACATGTCAGGAGACAAGGAACGGGCGTGACTTTTCAGGAGAACCCTATACTTTCTGACGTCGCTGATACAGGGGAGGTAGGAGATTCTGGTATCAGTCCCACTGCCAGTTCATGCTGTGCGTCACCGTTCTCATATGATGCGCATTTTCGTCTCCGCTTTAAACAAAGGAATAATATTTGTCACACAAGACCTTAATTTTCACGACCCTATAATACCACTAAGAAATTATTGAATCATTGATAATATGTACAGTTTACAACGAATATCATAAATATCAATTCGCAATTGTACCGATATTATCTTACTATTTCACGAAACAGTTATTTATCCTTCAATACGTGTTACTTTTGGTTAAATTTCAATGAAGCAGCGCAACAAATATTTATTCCAAAACTTTAAAAAATGTGAATATCTTTGAAATACACATTCCCCCAACAGGAGTTAATATGCATCTTAACAACATTGTCTGCGATCATTAAAATGAACGTGCTAGTAAACAATATATCATGCTTATCTATAAAAGCTTTTCGCTTATCCGGAGTATATTTATGTAGTAAATAATGTATCATACTTTTCTATAGTTATTCGCTATTCCGGAGTATGTTTATGTAGTTAATAATGTATCATACTTATCTATAGTTATTCGCTGTACCGGAGTATATTTATGACGTAAATAATATATCATGCTTATCTATAAAAGGTATGCACTATTCCGGAGTATATTTATGTAGTAAATAATATATCATGCCTATCTATAAATGGTATGCACTATTCCGGAGTATATTTATGTAGTAAATAATATATCATGCCTATCTATAAAAGTTATGCACTATTCCGGAGTATATTTATGTAGTAAATAATATATCATGCTTATCTATAAAAGTTAATCGCTATTCCGGAGTATATTTATGTAGTAAAACTTACCTTTTCAATGTCTACACCACAGGTAAGAAAGATTCTAGCTTTTTCAGGCAGACAGGGAAAAAACTGTTCAGAAAAGGACAACACATACTTCATATTGACCTCCCTTGACGAGGGCCTTCCTGTAAAGTGTAATAAAAACGACAATGTTCTAAGGACGCTTCACTTCATGGAACGCAATGTTAACAGTTACATAACATTACAATATTGACGCAATGATTAACGCGCTATCAGTCTATTCACCACAGCCACAGCTCAAAGGACAGTATCAACTAAAATGATTATGATTATATCCAGACATAGATATCTATAAAGTGATTAGTTGTCATCAGTCTGACAAATAATCCTAAAATAGCGCTATTCTTTACAATAACAGTGTTGGCGTTTTTCCAAGAGTATGAATGTTGGTTTTTTTTCTCATTGAATCCATGATCATTTCAAAGGCACTATTTCTTTTTTTTTTTTTTTTTGACAGTAGAGAAAATTAATGGCCACCACCTTTAGAGTGATGACCCTTTGTTGGACTTACCTACTATATAGCTGACTCCTATTGCAACCACAAGGAACACAATCAAGGCTAAGGTATCAAACCAGTAAAAGGATATTGCATAAAACCGATCTAGTCCTTGTCTGTTAAAATAAATTTTTCAGTTTTACTGTGATTAAAACATTCATTTGTTCTAAACAAATAGTTATATTAATTTTGCTTAGAGAGTTCAAGAAGACACAGTTGTGTAAATTAAATCTTGTTGGCAACTGTTTATGGATAAATCTATATCAAATAAAACTGTGGAATATAAAATTAAGCCAGGGCCATTTAATAAAGTTTGCTCTTTTGTAGTCTCCATATAATTCAAAATGGCGTTAGTTTGAGCAGACCTAAATAGAAATTAGATTATCGAATCATTGTTATTTTTATTTACTAGCCTACCTATGTTCTAATACACTAACAATACATAATAAAAATTATAATAACGTATTACCAAGTCGATTCAAATGAATTTCCGTGCCTAATTACATGTACAATTTTTTTTTTCATTCTGTGTGTACCGGTTTAGTAACGACTTGTTACTGTTGTGACTTATCAAAGTAACATATGATAAGAGAATATATAACATCTGTCTGTCAATCACGTCACTAGTTTTATGTTGATAAGTGAAATTAGGGTTTCTGTTATGACATATCAAAGTAGCATATGATAAGAGAGTATAGAGCTTCTGTCTGTCCGTTAAGTCACCAGTTTTATTTTGGTAAGTGTAATTAGCGTACATGGATATATTCTAAAATAACAAATTGGAGATCTTTTCCATTCAATATCACTCCCAATGACCCAATTCTACTCACGGGCCGGTATTCGTCACAAGTGGTGCCAATGTAGCGTTGAGTATATCTGGAACGGATGTAGGTGTGTCAAATGAAGTGGAGACATTTCCGGGAGTTGTGAAATTCATGTCTGTGAATGTATTGTTTATAACTGGAAAACATCGATCAACGGGTGCGAATGGTAGCGGTTTCTCTCTCCGTAGGGAAGTGGAAAAGGTCTGTCCCATCGATATCCATAACGTTATTGCCATTCCAGCTATTCCACCAATAAGACATCCCTGATATAGATAACAGAAATGTACATAACAAAGGATGATATCAATCAAACCGTGTCTTTGTAGACAATTATCATAAAACCAAGATTTTTTGAAATTGCAAACGAAATACTTTATTTGAAATCAATCAGAATCGTCCATACTTTTAGAATTTTTCATCAGTCTTTCAAACGTACCATATGAGTTGCCCTCGGGAAGAAAATGGAATAAAGGAAAATTCCTAGCAAAGGTGCTGTAAATACGGACATAATGCTCAAAGCTACCTGGAAAGCAGAAATGGATAAAACATATCAAACTATGTTTAAAGATAAATAGGTGATTAGTCTGTAACTTAGAATAGTCTCTTTCATTTGACATGTATAGTGATTAGATGGAATATCGTATAATACTAATGAAATCCATATATTATATACACTACCGTACATTGTCTCAAGCCATTATTAGATTTTATTAACTGTCAAATATTGCTACGTAGTTTTAACTAAGATATAGTTTTACATGGTGTAAGGGTAACATATTCATTATAATTCTAATGCTATAACTAGCAACCATAATTTGCCATACTGAAATATCATTACCATCCATACTAACAATAAGATCGTAATTAACAGGAAAAAGTGCAATGCTAATCAGACCAGGTGCTCTGGAAGAGTAAGCGTCTTCTGCTTTATTGACGACACCCGCCATGTAAATCTTGGTTAGTCCAAGTAAGAACGGTCGCGTTTCCAAACGAAAACAAGGTAAACAGCAACGACACCAAAAAGGCGTTCCAACGAGTGTCAAACACACCAGACTTAATATCTCATGCTAGAAGCTCCTTGAGAGCATAGTCTGGTTTTACGCGTTTTTAGATTATCACCATGTTTAATGACTGGCAGACGAAGAATAGCTTTGTCACCCTGAAGTTATCATTTTATAACAATTATAAACACGTCGAAAATTGTACTAGTTTTGAAATTTAAGTAACATAACGATGTTGAAGCAACATACCCGATAGAGGGATCCCTTCATTTCTGCTACCAAGAAGGCCAAGGCTGTAGCCAACATGCCATACAACACAACTACAAGTGAAACGGGCAAAACGTGTTAGATTATTTTCTTCCAAATAAACGAGATAAATTTCTCGATGAATAATTTATCCCGTAATTACGGTTTAGTATTATAAACTCTAACTTTTAAATCAGTAAATATGTCGCCATTTATTTTCCCTTATGATATACTTTTCTTTCTTCTTTGTTTGATATTTGATGTTTTCGCATACATAAGTTGTGAACAATTTCGTCGTATTGAACTTTTTTCAACTGATCAATATTGCTCAATAGTTGTCATTTTGACGTTTGTTTTACATATCACTTTACATTATTGCCTTCAGTCATGGCCGTCATTAAGTGATGGCCGTACGTGGCTCTACCACTTTTACCTGTAACTTTTGAAATGATTGCAGCCTTTGTTTCAGACAGCTTCTTGAAGTTCGGTTTAATGAAATCCTCTAAGGTAATGGCTGACAATCCAGACAAATTAGAGGAAACAGTACTGAAACAATATCAAACATTGTATAATCATACATACTATTAAAACATTGCCGAACAATTTCCTCGAATTCATTTGTTGAGGGCACAAATGTTGCTGTTATTTGACCTTATATGTAAATAATTGTTTATTACGATTAACAATCAATATTATCTAATTCAATATAAATTTGTTATTTCGTTTGATGCAATGAATAAAAATTTAGAACAAATATATCTTGATATTGTTACGACTGCCGTATACAATACCTCAATGAAGCGGAGAACAGTGACGCCATAAATAGTCCAGCCATTCCCGGTTCATTCCGGAATATATCCAATACCATATATGGAATCAACTGAGAAATGAGGAAACCTTCCATGTTTTTATCACATTTATGTAAATATTTATGTTTTCGCCATGTCATTCATATCACTATTCGACAACGTTCAAAGCAACGAGATGTAGATGTATATACTTATCAAAATTCAAAATCAACATTTAAGTTCTGGTTCAGTTTCTTGTTTTATTTGTCTTCGCTTCTATTCAAACATGCAGGGATCATACTCAAGTACCAATAAGCATAATTTTTCCGAAGAAGCATTTCAGCTCTACAATCATAAACGCTACTAATTATAAAACTGCTCTTCAATATTCACTTTCATTGACAATCGATCTTAACAAGCAAATTCATATACAAGTCAAGCATTTATCATTTATTTATAAATCAGACTGTATTTGGATTGAATACTGTGATAAAAAACTGAAATCTAGTTCATATATCAACGTCCTGTTTGCCTGATTATCTGAATGCATGATAACGAAGTTTCCGTTCCGAAATAACGATGTTTCCGTTTCGAATTAATGAAGTTTCCGTTTTGAATTAACGAAGTTCCCATTTCGAATTAACGAATGCTCCATTGTCTGTTTAAGAATACTTACTTGGTTATAGACGATTTTCTTTGACAGTATCGGATCACATCTGATTGTGTAATAGTAAGCATACGCCACGAGACCCATAGCCATGGCAAGTGACATCGTTAACACGAAGGCTGGTCCGACCAGGTAAAATATACTGAAACATAAATATCCACTTGAGTGAAATGAAACATGGTCAATAACACCTATCAACATTTTTTATTTTTGTTTTTAATTATTTATTTATATTTTATTTGATTTCAATTTCATTTTTATAAAGCATCCTTAAAGATGTATAGCTCCATAACGTAAGAGGAAGACGCTCAACATTCCGGAACACATTTGCTTCAACGGTGTCCGTAATGATCTTTCTACGGTTCATGTTTGACCGTTGTTCGTCGAGTTTAAACCAAGATTCTGTAGACGTGTTAGCATTTCCGTTTTGGATCTCATGTAGGAATCGAGATATATATTACACTGTCAAACTGTAGTTAATTTGATCTTCTATAATTTTTTACAACAGGAGCGGTACTACCGTTACACAAATATACAGCTACACACATATTATAACAAAATAAAAAATATCTTGATTTATTCGTTGATTTTAAACGCCTTCGCCCATGAACCGAAAGCAGGGTACAGTTCCCTGCATCCATAATTCGGGACTCTCAGGCAGTGTAACCTTGAGTGTTGTTCCAACTTTTTTTTCTTCAAATATTGAAATCTTTAGGTAAGACATACTATTTAGCATCTTTTTCGCTCTTTGTACAGCACACACGTTGAACAGACGTCTGACGAAACGGTATGACCAGTGCCTTGATCGTTGATCCAATCATTAGGCTCCAAAACGTATACTGTCGCGTTGGATCAATGTCAAAACTGAAATGAAACGATTATTTGGAATCAATGTCCAGCCCAAGGTAAATGAAATGGACAATGCACAGTTATTAGAATTCTGAATTGCGTTTGTACCATCAATTGTATAATTGTGGCAACATCAAATTGGCAAATAAACCTTTCCTTGTGTTATTTGGTATTCCATAAACTTATTAACCTGACTATCATTATTCGAAAACTCACACTACAGGTCCAGTTTTAAATTTCAGCTTTATTTCAAGGAAAACGGATTGTTATGCCTATGGCACTTTACACGTATGAGGAATTTCGTCAAATATTAGCCAATATTTTATCTATGAGGATGCGAGCCAGGCACATGCTAAGGCCAGAAAGGGTGGTATGAACACAATTTATTTCAATTAAAAGATCTCTCAATTAATAACCCTTTTAATTTATCGCTGACTAACAGTATGAGGAAGAATTTCGGCGTCATACTTTCACTACACCTCTTATCAAAGTGTAAGCTCTCTCTGAAGTTTCGTTAAAAGGATAAATATTTCTAAAACAATGCATGTTTTTAGAAAGTATGGTTACTTCATAATGCAAGGGATTTAATGCGTTACGCCTCCTTGAAATGTTTCAGAGAAAATATCAAATACGGACCTACAAGACACTGAATCTGGTGACAAAATATGGGCCAAAACGTCACTGAAAACGGCGGCAACATACGGACCTATAAACCATTGAATATGTTGACACTATTGACATTTAAAAACCATACCGATATGTTATTGTCCATTATACATTATGAGTTCAATAAAATTTCAAACGCTTAATAGTATATTGCAAGTGAATAAATTAACTTGCATGACACAAATTGTTGGCTTATCTCACCTGACAGGTTGAAGACGTCCAGTTGTCTTATTTATGTCCCAAACCTTGTCCAGTCCGCCAACCAGCACAGTCCCCTGTGAATAATCACCTTACAATGGTATATCATTCGAAAGCTAGGTAACTTTGATATGAATTTACACGTTTTTAGGAAGAGAATTTAGCTGTAAGTTTTCAATTTACAAGATACGGACCCGTATAATTTACATCAATCGCGATATAACGAGCAGATAAGGAATCATCAAAATGATTTTTGTGTCAGATCTATATTTAAAGTCCTAAACCAGGCCATTTCTGTCACTCTCTCCACGACAGATTGACAGTAATTTTGTAGTTTTCGACTTCTATTTTTTGTATGTTACATTTCACGGAATAAAATGTGAAAAAGTAACGGCAGGTATAGTGGTCATATATCATATTAACATTGTTTATTTATTACAATTCATCAAACATAGATAGAAACTTTTCCTAATCCTGTGACTTACCTTGAACAACACTGCAAATATTCCCATATAGAGGATAAGGAACTGAAACACATCCGTCCAAACAACAGCTTTGATTCCTCCCTAAATACGACAAGTAGTAACAAAAGTTATTTTAAGATCAGAAATGTACCTATCTATTTAAAGCAACCTTTTGATATAAGACAAATTGCTATCAGTAACATTATCCATTTTAACGGCCTGCCATTAACGGTCTTTAGGAAATGAAAAGTTTTAAAAAGTAAAAGTCTTTAGAAAATGGAAAGTTTTAAAAAGTAACAGTCTTTAGAAAATGGAAAGTTTTAAAAAGTAAAAGTCTTTAGGAAATGAAAAGTTTTGAAATATAACAGTCTTTAGGAAATGAAATTAAAAAAAAATAACAGTCTTTAGGAAATGAAAAGTTTTAAAAAAAATAACGGTCTTTAGGAAATGAAAAGTTTTTAAAAACAACAGTCTTTAGAAAATGGATGGTTTTAAAAAGTAACAGTCTTTAGGAAATTTTATTGTAGCAACGACTAGCGAGTAAAATAAGTCAGAAATAGCCCTACTGAAAACCCATAAATAGACAGGAAGGTTAAATACCCTCATTCAAATTCGAAAGAAATTAAAATATGAGGACATAATTGACACATTCACTTTTTGCGTCCGCACCACATCCTTCAACTGAAACCATAAGCAATCATTTGTCATCATATTTAGCAAAGACATTTCGATTTGATTTATATAACGAACTAATTCATTTTTTGTTTAATCTTTTTGAAGTAAATGTTTAAAAACACAAAAGAAAATTTAAATGACATATGAAGCAACTGTTTGATTATAAATGACTGATCAAAGAAATATGTACATAATCATATGTGTTGAAGAAATTATAAATGACTGATCAAAGAAATATGTCGTAATCATATGTGTTGAAGAAATGATTATTTTCCTTTGTAGTTTTAAATGAAGGATATTAAGCCAGAGTGCCGTATCGTCCTTGTAGTACGAGATAACTGGGTGGTATCACTTTTTTCCAAGATAAAAAACGTAAGTAGTATTGATACAGTCATAAAATACTAGAATATCATACAGCCTAGTCACGTTTCTATGATAATGTAGAGAATTCCTTGTGGGAGTGAATTCCAAGAACTAACCGAAATCATTTCAGGAATTACCGAAACTCTGAAATGATACGGTTGTATTTTCCATATCCCACACCCACACATATGGAACAGTTCATAAGGGAATACATCTCCTACTCGTAACGAATATAGATTTTCACTCCTATTTAAGTGAATCAAGTGTTAACAGATATCACTTCGACGTAACAGTCAGTTGATACCCTGGACAGAAGAGTGCTTTTACCTCACAGATGTGTGGTTTCCCACCATAAATTAGATGACTGTTGTCTTAATTTGAATGTGAAGATCATCATAGTTCAAAATAAACGAATATTAAGGTATGTCATGCCTTAACATTGACTGTGAGTTTTATCACGTAAATATGACCAATGTAAAAAAGGTACTAATGGCATATGATGTTTTATTCTTCCTTAGAAAATTAGAATCTCAAATTCCGCGAAATATGCTGTTGATAGTACCACTGAAGGAAATAAACATTTCATTTGGAAAATCATACCTGAATATCGAAACTTGTAATGTGATAGAAATATATTAGTCAAAACAGCATCTTCAACAACTTACTATAGAGGTGTATATGATAGATGAAACAGCCATGGATAGGACAGACACCCAAAATGGCACACCAGTCACTGAAAAATAAAACATTAAATCAAAAATGTATGACATAGATATAAAACACATCTCAATGACCCAAATAATGGACACAGGTAACGTCTGGATGTAGACCTTAGAATATCTGTCATGTAATTGTTGAAGTAATCCTTTAATGTGTCACTGATGATGTATAGTTTGTTGTCCCCAATATCAATACCATCGACGGTATCGGTCAATTATCATATGTTATTTAATGCTTTTTATATCCTCAACAGTAATTTAAAGATATGTGGTGGGGTACCTTTAATCAGGTAGTGGTAACTGTCAACAAGAAATTATAGGCAGGTGGTAGAGAATTATAGAATGGTAGTTATAGACTTGTGGTAGAGAATTATAGACTGGTAGTTATAGACATGTGGTAGGGAATTATAGACTGATAGTTATAGACATTTGGTAGGGTATTATAGACTGGTAGTTATAGACATGTGGTAGAGAATTATAGACTGGTACTTATAGACATGTGGTAGGAATTATAGGGTATTATAGACATTTGGTAGGGTATTATAGACTGGTAGTTATAGACATGTGGTAGAGAATTATAGACTGGTACTTATAGACATGTGGTAGAGAATTATAGACTGGTACTTATAGACATATGGTAGAGAATTATAGACTGGTACTTATAGACATGTGGTAGAGAATTATAGACTGGTACTTATAGACATGTGGTGGGGTATTATAGAATGGTAGTTATAGACATGTGGTAGAGAATTATAGAATGGTAGTTATAGACATGTGGTAGTGTATTATAGAATGGTAGTTATAGACATGTGGTGGGGTATTATAGAATGGTAGTTATAGACATGTGGTGGGGTATTATAGAATGGTAGTTATAGACATGTGGTGGGGTATTATATAATGGTAGTTATAGACATGTGGTGGGGTATTATAGAATGGTAGTTATAGACATGTGGTGGGGTATTATAGAATGGTAGTTATAGACATGTGGTGGGGTATTATAGAATGGTAGTTATAGACATGTGGTGGGGTATTATAGAATGGTAGTTATAGACATGTGGTGGGGTATTATAGACTGGTAGTTATAGACATGTGGTGGGGTATTATAGAATGGTAGTTAAAGACATGTGGTGGGGTATTATAGAATGGTAGTTATAGACATGTGGTGGGGTATTATAGAATGGTAGTTATAGACATGTGGTGGGGTATTATAGAATGGTAGTTATAGACATGTGGTGGGGTATTATAGACTGGTAGTTATAGACATGTGGTGGGGTATTATAGAATGGTAGTTATAGACATGTGGTGGGGTATTATAGAATGGTAGTTATAGACATGTGGTGGGGTATTATAGACTGGTAGTTATAGACATGAGGTAGGGTATTATAGACTGGTAGTTATAGACTTGTGGTGGGGTATTATAGACTGGTAGTTATAGACATGTGGTGGGGTATTATAGAATGGTAGTTATAGACATGTGGTAGGGAATTATAGACTGGTAGCTATAGACATGTGGTGGGGTATTATAGACTGGTAGTTATAGACATGAGGTAGGGTATTATAGACTGGTAGTTATAGACTTGTGGTGGGGTATTATAGACTGGTAGTTATAGACATGTGGTGGGGTATTATAGAATGGTAGTTATATACATGTGGTGGGGTATTATAGAAAGGTAGTTATAGACATGTGGTAAGGAATTATATGCGGTAGAGAATTATAATATTATTATATTGACTAATAGTGGGAAGCTATAACCTTGTAGTTACAGGTGATTTTTAATATGAATCGGTAGGTTCAATCAGGCGGAAGTAAAAGTGGTAGTTATAGTCATATGTGAGAAATTATGAAGAAGTAGATTCAGACAAGTAACAGTGCTATATTTGTTGTTTTAGACAGGTAGTGAAATGGAATTATAACTGGTAGTTATAGATAGTTAAAACACTAGTAGTTATAAACATAGACACCGATAGCTAAAGACAGGAGTTTGTTAGTTATACACATGTGGTAGCGATTATAAACAGTTCGCTACTTTTGTTTATTTTCTGCTGGTTTTAAAGCCCTGTCGTGAATAGTCAGGATCATTTTAAGCGGAGTCTCCATAAAGTAGCTGTTGGCTACCTCACTGATGCCCGTCTCATGTCGTCCTGAGAAATTAGGGGAAAGTATCTTGACCCACAACCAAGACACAAACAGGGTTCATATCTGAGCTTCCTGAGAAACACAAACCGACATTGGTAGGGAGCTTCGAACCGCGCATCTCATATCTTTAGATAACAAAGATCTACCCGCATGAGCTATCATGGCCCCTCTGGTAATATAGGAAACTGGTGGGGACTTACCTGTTGTATTCTAGACCATAAAGAAGAAGTGTCATCACATTTTCGATAACAACTACAGGTGTCAAATCCAACTGTAAAAAAGGGAATGATTCTTTCCTATTTTCTTGAAAAGCAATACTTGTATAAAACCGAATACACAAGCCCGGTTAATTTGACAGGATTAGAATACGAGTTCAGAAGTTTCCATTTCAGTGACACTCTGCCAGGCTATCAACTTCAAAGTGAAATGAATCTATTTTCACTTTCAATTGTGCGTGGAGGTATTCATTGTTGCATTGTAACTATGTTAAGTCTACCTTGAAAGGATCAAGATGGGAAATGATTTATGACTAAACATGTAGAAATGCGGGTGTGTGTAAGAATTCGCCTAAAATTGCCACACTGTTAAATTTTATCATATATTAGAGTGTTTTGCGAATGATGAAATATATTATTTGCGTGTCGATTGTCTTTAGTTCGAATCTTTTGTCTTGGTTCCATACTTTCCTTCGTTAAAACATGATTTTATTTATAGTATGTGCTCACCAAATTGTGTTCGATCAGTTAGAATAACATAACATTATAAGATATACTTAAACAAGCTGTTACTGTTTTCAAATAATTGGATTGAAAACTCTTTCATCCTGACAATTCCAAACGAATTTATAAAGCATTGTGGCTAATTTTCATAAACAATGATTTTTTGTCGTACTCACCCCTTAAAAAGTAATATACTTATAAACAAATGGTTCCCAATTTAAAACAATAAAAAGTTTAGACTACAACTTTGTACAGTTTATATTCTTAACCGACAATTTATGTTGCTTTGTTAAATGTCTGGTACTGCGCAGATTTTAGGAACAAAATTAGCTTGGAAGATCGAAAATTCTGTAAAATTATTGAAAGTTGTTCATATAAACAATCAAATAGATACAACCACAGGTATTTAAATGTTAATTTCCATATTGTTTTATCACAAAGCAGAGGTTTTTAAGTAGATGGACGCAGTCAACATACCTCCCTCCATAGCTATGGCTGGTCCATAAAGCACCAAACCACTGTACATTGTCTGTAAAAACAAGAGTCACATATACAGAAACCTTCTCTGGTGAATACAGTGCGAACAAGTCATATACTTTAACGACAATGTCTAGTATGGCAGAAACTGGGAACTCAGAATGAGTAGAAAAGCAAAATGAATGAAGAAAATGAAAAGTCGAGCAAGACAGTTTAACCGTAGAAAAGTGTAAGGGAATTAAGAAATTGAGGAATGAAGAGGAACGCAGAAGGAAAGCGGAAATGATAATAAGAGGTAGGGGTGAAAAATGAGATAATTAATGAAAACTAAGATGAGTTAGAGAAGACTGAGGAAAATATAGAGAACGTCTCGAACAGGTTCACACGTATTTGAATATGATATGGCATACTTTCCACGTGTCATGGATGGCGGTATATGTAATATGTACTTCCTATGTGTACTCATCCAAACATTGAATTATCTCTATTTAAATTTTCTTATTTTTTTAGTCATCATTAAAACACCTGACAACCAACTTCAGGTTTAAGAAACTATTAAGTGAAATTACATGCCATGTATTTTCTTAATGAAGTACACTTGTATTGTCATACTTGTAATACTTTGCTCAAGAAGACGACACTCAGAATCAATTTGAGTAATTACATGTAAATATGGCCGTTTATGATATTAAAAATAAATACTAAAACTACGGACTCTTAAATCATGTATACATTAAAACGAAATCTGAGAAAGTCCGTACTTTAACAGTGATTAAGTTTAAGTATACATCACTTGAAGATTTAACTTCAAAGTACCATTATGTTAATGAGTTATTATCTATGTATATCTGTATCACTTCAAATCAAACAACGTTCATTTAAAATCTAAAATGCTTTAGAAAATCTACCATGGTTTGAAATTTGAATAATTACTTGATAAAAACACTTTGATATAATACATAGAGTGTTTTCCAAAGTAATTCCCAAACTTGACTTACACAATCCTTAAGCTGAATATAATTGATTTTCATTCAGTACAAGCAGACATTATACGACTACAACCTATACTGCTTGTGAAGCAAATCTATCACTGTCATGGGAAATCATTACAGATGAGAAGCACACACTTTGATAATAAAGCGAATCTCGATACAACTTAAACGGACTCTATGATTAAAACATAAGATCGTTAAATGATACATTTACACTAAAACTATTTAAATTTCATGATATGCAATCAACTGTAGACTTGATAATCTAAGCACGTAGTTGGATTGTGTTCGGATAACTCTGTGCTGTACAGTAGACAGATAACCTCTACAGTTCACATGAGTTTGGCATGTGTGTGCGTTAGAAACACCTGTACTCAACCTTTTCTTTCATCTTGAAAATAACAATAACACCCACATCCGTATGTTTTACAGAACATGTTGATTACGACTTTGCAGAATGTAATTGTATACGTAAAATCCAGAACACCGGATGGTTCTGCAGCGCCTTGTTAACTTAACAAAACGCTATAATCTTTCTGTTTATTTTCTTAACACTGAAACAAATCACTATCTGGCAGATGATACTCGTTCATACAAATAACTGACATTTAGTGTAGACAATCATCTGGGCAATATGTCAAAATTCCTGGTTTACTGCGTTCAACATTAGATAAACTGTCATGTGATACATTATGTAATACAATCGTATGGAGTATAGCGTAAAAAAATAATAATTAAAAGATTAAATGAAATGATTTACTGCTATTATCGCAAGTCTTTCAATGCCTGGATGTTCACATTACGTCGGGGAAACCCTGGGAGCCTATATCGAAATGCTTTATATAACTTCATTACGAGACATGATCAAACTTGTTACTGTGTAATTGGTTGAAGTGCAACTGATGGGTACGTTGAAAATAGTAATAGTCTTGCTAAATTGTATGTAATTGATTTGCCACCAACAGACTGCAGTGTAGATAATTTTATGGCTGCCACACCTAAATAAGGTATCAGGTTCGCTGACAGTAACCAAACTAATCATCATTATCATTCTCATTCTCTTAACATATTTCGTCCGCAGTAATAGTAGGATGTCCTCGCTTACCAAACTTCACCTCTGATAGGGTTTCACATAACCGCAAAAAATTGTTTCCTACCCACGCTCCCAATAATTTTTGCACTGGTACATTATTCTATAGATATGAATAATTACGGACATTTGTCAATGTCAACAACAGTTTGCAATTTTTCATAAAACCGGTTGACAATTAAGATAATCAACTCTTTACCATCCGTCACATTGTAGAGGTATTTCGTTCAGTTCCCTCACAGATCTACATGTACGTATGTAAGCCTTAGCTCATGTTCATTAATTCAAACTAAAGTCTGCAATAACAAGCAGGATATACGGTGAGAAAATATTCAACTATGATTGTTTTGCATCCTCGGGTAAAACTTTACATTTTCACCCAGCATACTGTTGGCCATAAAACACATTACAACACACATTTTGTCTTCAATATCAGACTAAAGCCCACTTTTTGCTATCCTAATCGGCCAAAGTTCACCTGTTTCTTTCCCGGTATAAACTATAAAGCAGTGCAGCACTATACTCTATTTTACTATGTTTTACTTGTAAAGTCCTTTTGCAGCGGCAGCCGGTTTAACCTTGACAGGCGATGATACGTTCGGGTTCGGTCCCCGATACCGGATACCTGATGTTTATACTTGACCTTGGTCTGATTTTCAGCTTAAACTTAAATGCAAGTTCAATTTATTTTCTAAAAAGTGCGAAGCAAGTTTTTAGATCATATCATTTATTCTTACTGTCCCAGATGGAAGCTCAGGAGGGGACTCGATGTGGGAGGAAAGCGGAGTACCCGGCGAACACGTGGTCGGGTAGGTGACCCCCATCTTTTCGTGTCAGTTTGGGGAGTCGAACCTCTGACGTTTAGGTGAAATGTGAGTGTGTTACCACTGTGTCCCTGATTCACCATATCCAGTTCATTTCTCTCCAAAAGTAAACGTCAATATACAAGACTTTATTATCAAATTATTCATTATAATTATACACCCACTTTAATTATTTCTGTACGGTAGGTATCATATAGGGAAAGCCTTGGTCAATAATACAGTTCCCGGGGCATCCTATCGGCTTCGGTATGAAACTAAGTCAATATGTTTATGTTACTGTAGTCTGAGTAGGTAAATATTACCTGCAGGAGCGTGATTATAGAATAAAACACCAGGGAGTTGTAGCGAATTGTCACTACCTCGAGATCAGACAAACTGGTTATGAAACGTTATTGACAGAATAAATAGCTGAAATTCACATGGGAATGACTTTTCCCCAATTCAATACTATCAGAGTGAGAAATATCATCCCCCTGTTTAATCGTAGTGTAAATTACGTTCCGCTTGTTGCGTTGTAAGTTCAGTATTTGCTTAAATAGCGTAGTCATTTAATAACACGGAGTTTATGTTTTTCAAACAATTGTATAACACCAAACATCATATCTCTGTAACAAACCTGTATCTTATCTAGTCATCTAATTTTCTACAAATTCATCACTAAAACTGAGTTTGACCTAGTTTTCGAAAGTGTTTTTTTTTCCTTGTCTTGACTAACTTACAAAACATTGATTGTGAATATGATAAGTTTGATGCATTTTATCACATTTGAACTTGTTTCTTTAATTTTACTTTTTTTAAAGTAGAGTGGTCGTTATACTTTTCTTCCTTTACAGTTTCTTGTGTTACCGTGGTGGCTTTTTTTATTGACTTGCTTTATTCAATACTTCCTACTCTGCTGACGTTCAATTGGATTTGTAAATCTTGTTTTATCCTCTGTTCATGTTGTTGAGTTGGTGTCTGTTATATTTTGTTATTGCTGCTTGCAGTAGCGTTGTTTACTTCTTTTCGTAACTATTATGTCTCCTTTGTTTCTGTTTCTGTTTGGTGTCTTCTCTGTCATTTGGCTGTCTCCTTTGTTCCAAATTCCTTTGTTTCTGTTTTTGTTCGGTGTCTTCTCTGTCATTTGATTGTCTCCTTTGTTCCTGTTTTAGCTTGGTGTCTTCTCTGTCATTTCACTGTCTCCTTTGTTTCTGTTTTGTTTGATGTCTTCTTTGTCATTTGATTGTCTCCTTTGTTCCTGTTTTAGTTTGGTGTCTTCTCTGTCATTTGATTGTCTCCTTTGTTCCTGTTTTTGTTTGGTGTCTTCTCTGTAATTTGAGTGTCTTCTTTGTTCCAGTTTCCTTTGTTTCTGTTTTTGTTCGGTGTCTTCTCTGTAATTTGAGTGTCTTCTTTGTTCCTGTTTTTGTTTGGTGTCTTCTCTGTAATTTGAGTGTCTTCTTTGTTCCTGTTTTATTGTCTCCTTTGTTCCTGTTTTTGTTTGGTGTCTTCTCTGTAATTTGAGTGTCTTCTTTGTTCCTGTTTTTGTTCGGTGTCTTCTCTGTAATTTGAGTGTCTTCTTTGTTCCTGTTTTTGTTTGGTGTCTTCTCTGTAATTTGAGTGTCTTCTTTGTTCCTGTTTTAGTTTGGTGTCTTCTCTGTCATTTGATTGTCTCCTTTGTTCCTGTTTTTGTTTGGTGTCTTCTCTGTCATTTGAGTGTCTTCTTTGTTCCTGTTTTTGCTCGGTGTCTTCTCTGTAATTTGAGTGTCTTCTTTGTTCCTGTTTTAGTTTGCAGTTTCTTTGTTTCTTCATTTGATTGTCTCCTTTGTTCCTGTTTTTGTTTGGTGTCTTCTCTGTAATTTGAGTGTCTTCTTTGTTGCAGTTTCCTTTGTTTCTGTTTTTGTTCGGTGTCTTCTCTGTAATTTGAGTGTCTCTTTGTTCCAGTTTCCTTTGTTTCTGTTTTTGTCTGGTGTCTTCTCTGTAATTTGAGTGTCTCCTTTGTTCCAGTTTCCTTTGTTTCTGTTTTTGTTTGGCGTCTTCTCTGTAATTTGAGTGTCTTCTTTGTTCCAGTTTCCTTTGTTCCTGTTTTTTTTGTGTGTCTTCTCCGTCATTTGATTGTCTCCTTTGTTCCTGTTTTTGTTTGGCGTCTTCTCTGTAATTTGATTGTCTCCTTTGTTCTTGTCCGCATGTTTTCTCCGTTTTTATGTATTTCACGTTTCATATATTGCTATTCATTCTATTTTGCTGTGGTCGTGTTTTAAATAATGTAATTACATTTTGTGTCCGTATTTTCATCACTTGATTTCCCCGCTTTATGTTCGCTGATTTCGGTGATTTATATATCCAAGCAATGTTAAAATTAGTAAAATTCACTCTGTGAAGTTATACTTAATCAGAAAATCAACTATCCACGAAAAAGCAATTGTTTGAAAAACCATGAAACTCAAGATCCTTGAAAACATCATTTTAAAATAATTTCATTTGAAGTTAATGACATTTGATCAGGTGTGTGCTACTACTTTCGGGAAACTCCTCTCATGTCAACATTCTGTCGATAATCTTACGTTTACCTGTCGTTTAAATGTATACAATAACATATGTTATCATCTTTTCTGTTAGGGATGCGAAAACCAATATAAACACTATTGTTGGTAAAAGAAATATTTACAAAAGCAAAAGGTAGTCTGATACATTCGTGGGTATTTAAGTACTACATCCGAAGGAGATCTTTTCGTGGAGATGGATTTTTTCGAACACATTCGCAACGTGTATATGATAATTGAATTTCGCTAGTTACATGTCGTCGAAAAGATATTTGGCAGTGTTGACCATGTTTCTGATTGTTTTGTCTTCTTAAATACTAGGACTGTTCAGCTGATATAAAAACAAAATTACATTATTTTTATAATTACGTTGACAGCTGGTATAATGCTAATCGAACATGATATCCGATATCGTTGAAACAACTGGTTTTATAGGTCTGTTTTAACGATGATCTATAGGTGTAGTCCATAACACAGGCGACGCTTACCCTTCCGGAACAGTTTGATATTTTTGTATTTTGTTAACGTGTTGGTATTATCGTGCATGATCTATTTATTTTTTGTTTGTTTTTTTTCTGTTTGTTTGTTTTGGTTTCTTTTTTAATGGGATTCTCGAAGTTAATTTTGAATTTTCTTCTTCAAAGGAAGTCCATAACAGAAAATCGAAAATCCTGTTTTGTATTCAAATCAAATGGTCAATGATATTTTTTCGTGTTAAGGATCAATAATTAGGAAACCAATACTGTGTTGAAAGAGCTTTAAAGGCATAAAATATGTAATGTTTAGAAATAAAAAAAAGTGCTTCACTGATTCGTTAACAAATACTTATTATTGTATCTGAATTCTATGAAGAATAAAAAACGATGTAAAATATTGTTTGCGAGATAGAGATCAACAAGATTGATCGTTTGGACTATACAATTCAATCACTTATACTATGTGGCGTTCAGATGATGGTGTCCACTTGTGAAGGAACGGTCTATTAGGTAATACATAGATAAAATCTTAATTCTTTATACCTGACTGGTAACCAGTAGGGTTTGTCCCGGATAGTAGCTGTCATGGATAATGATTGGAGACGTGGTAGGAACTGTTTATTGTAGCTCCACCTCGGGGAGAGGTGAAATCTCAGCATCACAGACGCTGATAATACTTAAACCGTAGCGGGTAGATAATGTAATAAGAACTATGGCGACATGTCTATTTAACAATGACTAACTATACAGGTAGATAATAAGCGAGTGTGGCATCATTTAGACCGAGTGAGTGATCAGGCAACAGTTAAATAATCCTTCAAACCAAGGACCAAATATATCTCCTCGAAATGTGAAGCTGCTTAAAAACCAATTACACACAAGATTAAAAAAATAGTAGGTAGAAAATGATCTCATTTAAAACAAATTTCAAACTCAACAAAATCTAGTCTAGAGTTAAACATTATGCTTCAACCTTATAAAAGATTTTACATACACGTGAATAGCTCATTTATATACAAATTCAAGTGTTAATTACAGTAGAACCAAACAATGATTAAAACTGCATCCACTGACATTGTATATGCTCATTTAACACGGTTAAAAGTTTCACTTCAACTTTATAGAATTGGCAATATGTATAATAGTTAATTTTAATTCAATTAAACGCTGTATTTCAACCTGATAGACCTGACAATAGTATGGTAAGTCAATTAACCCGCTGAAACGTTATACGTCAACCTAACAGACATGACAATATGTATGATTGGTCATTAATTCAGTTAAACGTTGTATTTCAACCTAACAGATATGACAATATGTATGATTGGTCATTTAACTCGGTAAAACGCTATACGTCATTAATATATAACTATCTGCATTCAAATTAAATTGCAGTAATGTGATATGTCGGCCTTTCCAGTTGACAATTACGTCATGCTGTATAAATGAGATATACAATAAACAATATTACATTTTCCTTGTCTAGTAGCGGTACTTGTGTTTGTATCATGTACCAGCGAGAAGTTCCCGTGAACTACATTTCCGAACGCTACACAACTGATATGGAAATCATATTTACCCAGAAACAATTATATCATTTACAAAGCATAAGGTGATCGATATATAGGTCAGTTTGTGAAGCAATTGGACGATGACGGGCAGTGCCCAGACATAAATTCCTGCTCTTCTAATCAGGGAACTATTGACACTATTCAACAAAGCATTGTCAGCTGAACATGATAATTGTCAAATAATAACGAAATGATAATGATAATGAAAAATATATTTCAAATAATTAAATATGCCAATTATGTGTCTTTTTAGGATCATTTGTAGACTTTATTCATTTCTTAATTACATTTAGTTGTTTGTATATAAAAGTAAGTATCAAATCACTATTTACCATTGTATAACATTTTGGATTAATAAGGACGACTTGTCGAGAGCATCAACTTACTTATACTCTTCATTTCCACAAAATTTTCCCTTTAATAACCATACACCGTACGTACGTAACTAGGCCGTTCCAAATCATCATCATTTGTCTAGATTTTGACACAATTAAAGACATTTGCAGATACACAGCAATTTAAACGCTATAGAAAATCACTTTCATACATAATTATGGATGAATCGCCGAATGACATTTATATAATTAGCGTCAGTGATAGTAAGGCAATTAACACCAATTCACACTTACGTCAACCATCGCTCCACAAATCGATGCAAATCGGCGGACAGCCACGGCTCCATATCTCAATTCAAAATACTGAAAAATAATAAAAAGAAATCGTAATATTTCATTTTCCTTTGAATAAATATATGTACAACGTTTTAAGTTTTTTAGAAGACAAACTGTGTCGGTACATATCTCACATTTGACCCTGTAGCCACTACTGGACATGTATAAATGCTATTTAGAGTGCTATATTTAAAGTTCATATCTTTCAAACTATTGTTCGCAAGAATGCATAACACGATAATCCAGAGCAACACGGCGTCTGACAACCCAAAAAAAAGCAGGATTATAGTAACCTAGGTATTTCTAACAAGTTAAAACACAAAATATCAAGACTGATTGTAGGTAATAATAGACAAGTAGAGGCGGAGAATGAAACTGAAGACTGGACGAAAAGCACGAAACCACGCAAAGCTAAAGGGGTCCCTCATCAGTCACCACATTGTACACGCAGCGATTCTTACACAACAGGCAAATAATTTTTACAAACTTGTCTTAATGTGAGTCACTTTATATCTAATACGTGATTTCAGTTCAATGATTTCTGTCTTGGTTCATCACAATTGTCAGTGTTTCGACTTCTCTTCGACTTAATTCCCCAGTATTGATGCCTCGTCATATCCTTTGTGTTCTGAAACACTTCAGGTCACTAATGCCATATAATCTCCATTGTTTTCATCAAATCCTCTCTGTTTTGATATCTTCTCAAACGTACACAAAATAGTAATACCTAGGACACAAAATAGTAATATCTAGGGCACAAAATAGTAATACCGAGGACACTCTAGGACACAAATAGTAATACCAAGGGCACAAAATAGTAATACCGAAGACACAAAATAGTAATACCAAGGGCACAAAATAGTAATATCTAGGACACAAAATAGTAATATCTAGGACACTCTAGGACACAAAATAGTAATATCGAGGACACTCTAGGACACAAATAGTAATACCAAGGGCACAAAATAGTAATACCGAAGACACAAAATAGTAATACCAAGGGCACAAAATAGTAATATCTAGGACACAAAATAGTAATATCTAGGACACTCTAGGACACAAAATAGTAATATCGAGGACACTCTAGGACACAAAATAGTAATACCAAGGGCACAAAATAGTAATATCTAGGACACTCTAGGGCACAAAATAGTAATACCGAAGACACAAAATAGTAATACCAAGGGCACTAAATAGTAATATCTAGGACACTCTAGGACACAAAATAGTAATACCGAGGACACTCTAGGACACAAATAGTAATACCAAGGGCACAAAATAGTAATATCTAGGACACAAAATAGTAATACCAAGGGCACAAAATAGTAATATCTAGGACACAAATAGTAATATCTAGGACACAAAATAGTAATATCTAGGACACTCTAGGACACAAAATAGTAATACCAAGGGCACAAAATAGTAATATCTAGGACACAAAATAGTAATACCAAGGGCACAAAATAGTAATATCTAGGACACAAAATAGTAATATCTAGGACACAAAATAGTAATATCTAGGACACTCTAGGGCACAAAATAGTAATACCGAAGACACAAAATAGTAATACCGAGGACACAAAATAGTAATATCTAGGACACAAAATAGTAATATCTAGGACACTCTAGGACACAAAATAGTAATACCAAGGGCACAAAATAGTAATATCTAGGACACAAAATAGTAATACCGAAGACACAAAATAGTAATATCTAGGACACTCTAGGACACAAAATAGTAATACCAAGGACACAAAATAGTAATATCTAGGACACTCTAGGACACAAAATAGTAATACCAAGGGCACAAAATAGTAATATCTAGGGCACAAAATAGTAATATCTAGGGCACAAAATAGTAATACCGAAGACACAAAAAAGTAATATATAGGACACAAAATAGTAATACCGAGGACACAAAATGGTAATATATAGGACACAAAACAGTAATATCTAGGACTCAAAAAAGTAATATCTACGACACAACATGGTAATATGTAGGACACAAAATAGTGATATATAGGACACAAAATAGTAATATCTTGGACACTCTAGGGCACAAAATAGTAATATCTAGGACACAAAATAGTAATATCTAGGACACTCTAGGACACAAAATAATAATATCTAGGGCACAAAATGGTAACATCTAGGACTCAAAATATTAATATCTAGGACACAAAATGGTAACATCTAGGACTCAAAATAGTTATATCTAGGACACAAAATAGTTATATGTAGGACACAATATAGTAATATCTATTACACTCTAGGACACAAAATAATAATATCTAGGGCACAAAATATTAATATCTAGGACACAAAATCGATGTAACGAGACAAAATGTGAACCGAGGAAAGTACAAAGAGAACACGCTCACATGTTTCGGAAGCATCGCCTACTTCATGGTCACCACTCGTCATGTAGAAGATTGTTAATCTATGTAATGTTACGTTCTCATCAAAACAATCACAATACAATGTCAAAACGAAATATCAGGAGTTGTTTGGATGGAACAATGCAACATACGTGTTGACAGACAGACAGACAGACTGACAGCCTGACAGACAGACAAACAGACAGACAGACGGACAGGCAGGCAGGTAGACAGGCAGGCAGGCAGACACACAGACAGGCAGACACACAGACAGTTAGACAGAATAATAGCTAGACAGACAGACAGGCAGGTAGGCAGGCAGACACACAGACGAACCGACAACAGACAGACTGACAGATAGGCAGACATTCGTTATTCTTCCTTAAGGAGATTTTGTATTTCAAAACATTTTTTTACAAGATGTAACTTAATTCCTATGTAAACATGATTTTGTTTTTGATATCCACGTAATTGCATTTTGAAAATGTACAACTAATGATACAAAATGTTCACTTAATTATCTTTCCTTCATATGACGGATTTTACATATAAATATACATTTAAGTACATGTTAATTATGGTATGTATCTCACACACCATTTCTTCGATATTTCTAGTCCTGTTTATCATCAGTGTTTCCCACTCTAAATCAGGCAAATATAAATGTGAACGATCCCCATACATCACTGGTCTTCGATGTTAAATTCACAAAACTGTACATATGATAACACTCCTATTCAGGATATTTGTATTGTAACACACGTGTAAGTGTGGGTGTTATAGCGCTGCAAACTGGGTGGAATTGCGGTTTTAACAATTAAGCGTCTGCTGAAAGGCTAAAAGCCTGCAAGGCCAGAATAGCGGATGATAAATTGATAAGACGGTAAGATCAAATTTATGTTTATTATTATCACGATACCATTTGTAAAGCATATTTTTGTGTGTCATGATATATAACGATGTATGTTATTTTGTAAATAAAAAGGCGTCATGTCAGTATGGAGCTGTCATTCTGAAGGACAGTCTTTCAGCCCATTAAACTCGACAAATATAGATTATAATGTTTTCTAAAACATTTTGAGTATTTAATTTTAGGACCGACGTATGTTTGTGTTTCCAGTTCAAGTAGCTATTTTCTATATTGTGGACTTGTATTGACAGAAACATGACAGACCTTGTAAGAGGTCCAGTGGTGTAGTTGATTATATTTATTCTGTACAGGCTCTGTCAGATTGAAACCTGTTGTTGAAATGTTTCAGTTTCCATTCCAAGTACCCACTACAAAATCTATTAACCGTAGACCTTCGAAACTGTCAACGAAATACAAAACAAACCATATAAATGTAACCATATAATGATAAGGGGTATTCTCCGATCGATTCAGGAATGTTAGAATGTCAAAGTGTGCATTAATGATCAAATCTTTAACCCAACAGGGAGATATCGAAGATGAAATATGTATTGTGTCGTAAACTTTGTAAAGTTAATTTTTCCTGAAAGGATCAAAGCGTTTCCTTGTAAAGTTCCCGTGTTCAGCTATGTATGATTTGTAAATGTGATAACATTTAGCAAAGCAAACTTAACTAAGACAATATCTGTTAAAGATTTAGTGTAGCTAACTGACGAGTAGGAAGCCACAATACCAAATCACCTTGGCAACAGAACACCAATCGTATCACCTATTTCACGCCCTTGTACTCTCGCATTGTCTCGTTCCTAAGTTAAGGGGGCAAGAATATGACATGTCACCTGGTTTATATCAATCACAATGATAAGTACTGGTTAAAAGTCAAGATAAGTCTTAAACTGATGAATTATTTTACAAGCAGTTATTGAAATGTGTATGTACGCTTTTTGCGCCGTAAATCAAAACTTTATGAATAATTTGATTAGTTCTAACCGCATCATAATGTTTATTTAATTAATAAGCACCACGACTAAATGATCTGCACGAGCGAATCATCCAGGTAGTAGCCAACTTCTTCCTTGATCCCGGGGGAGGGGGTTTGTCTAATATCTTTCCCGAGTGAAGGGAGACACAGGCATTCCTCTTTTTCACATCTCGATTACATACAAATATGTGCTTTTCATAACTTAAAATATTTATCAGATAAAACATTCAATTTAAACAGCGATGTTTGCAGTTTACTTTTCAGCAGTTTTAAAGATAAAATTGGTTTAAACACTGAATTCTTTGTACGGATTGTAACAGAACATGACTCACAAAATATCAGCCGGATACAATTTCAAATTTATGATATATCGTTAAAATTAATTTCCTCTTGTAACCTGCGTCAAGTATGTTTTATTAGTAATGGCATCGTTGACATATTTTTTTTTCAAATCTGACAGAACAGCAACTAGATAAAAAGAAAAAAAAATGTTGATAAATTTATATGTCTTGACTGAGTTAGCTTTGGATATTTACACCTGATAAATGATTTGCAAAACAGAAAGTAATCTTGAGTATGTCATTTCCCTACTCAGTGTCACAAATTGCTTCCAGATCTGTTGGCTATCAGTATCGCCATATGACCATAACATATGTATAATACCAGTGTTCATAAATAAAAACTGAAGATAAGAATAACACGGACTGGGTCATAATCTTTTCTATCAGCGGTTCTTTCGGTGCTAACTTTCAAAACA